GTTAAAGCTGTTGTATACAAATTCAAACCAGATCACATACTTGAAAATAGGACAGCTGTACAAACATTGGGTCTGTTACCACTTCATCTGACTCCCGAAATAGCTTCTTTTTAAATATGAGTTTACAGTGTAATATTTCCCCTTTACTTCGATCCTTAGCTGCCTTGATTTCCGCCAGCAAATCGCCAATATATTTATTATCATCTAACCCAATGTATTCCTCTATGTGACAATAAGTGAGCATTAGACAATAGTGTCAGCAAATCTTTATGTAGGAAATAATCAAGAAGTAAAATACATACCATTCCCTGGATCAGGAGACTTGGAACCAGTAACAACTTTACGGCATTCAAACAGGCTGAAGCTAGAATAAGCTGAAAGTTTAATTATACTTGCAAGCTCCTGATGCAAGAAATTGAGACAAAAACAGTCAAAAGAAATGTGTGATGAAATTGAAGATAAAACATACCCGTCAATGACATCCAAGCACAAGAAACTTTCTTGATCAAATTTAATCAGCATCTATCAGTGTTGAAGCTTAGCTGCTACCATGTTTAGTAAACAGGTTGAAGGCCAAGAATAGAAATTTCTAATTAATTTCTTACTTAAAAATAGTGAGCCAAATTGTAAGAGCATTCCAAGGAACAATCTAACAAAAAATTAGAAAAGAACCTCCCAATAAAACATAGAATTTGAGTTTCATATTAAAGATTATAGCCTACCAGAGATGATCATATCATGCAGGAACTTAAATGCTGTAAAGGAAAAAATTGGTTAAGCAGTGGATTGTGACTTTAATCTAATGTTAAGTAGGAAAAATGCACAGCAAGCAAGATTTAATAAGTGAACCTCCCATACAACCCAGAAGTTCTTACAACTACCCCTTCACTGAACAGATTCAGTTTTTTCAATCTGATGCAGAAATGAAATACAAGACACACACTTTGGATGAATGTACAAGAAAAATGAATTTCTCTTTAGCTTGCCAAAACAATTATAAGGAATTCCTTATTCACCAAAATAAAAGGAGATGGCTTTTTTTATTCTTTCTCACTCACTGGCTCAAGAAATATCCAATGCTAAAACCTATCAATTTGTTGTGACTTTAAGTAATGTATTCAGATTATGACAACCAGCTCTATGGCTTTTTAAACATCATAGACAACAAGTTTTGACAGAAAAAATGTGATTAATTTATTTTCCTCTAATAAATTCCACCTACACTGATGATACACATAAAGTTGAGAACGCTTAATAGTACCTCTACAGCATCAGACACAGTCGTTGCCATGTCATATGTTATTTCTTCAAAAGTTTCATCCAAGAAAAACACGATAGTTGTTAGCTTTCGACCAGTTAAAATAGCTTCAATCTCTTCACGGGCCGGTATTGTGTTACGGGGGCCAGCTTTGACAGAACGCTTCAAAGCATTTAACGTATTTAATGCAAGAGTTTGGACCTCAGAATCGGTGCTTGCACTGTGCGCTACATTGTGAACATACTCAGATAAATATCCACCAATGTCTTTGCTAGGAGGCATGGAGGATGCACATAAATACATCAGCTCCCATGCTTTGATCAAGTTTTGCCTGTATCATCCAAATGAACGAAGATAACTAGCATGAAGTAAGAGAATAGGAATACATAAGAAGAGAAAGGCATATTCTTAAAAAGGACATGCATACCTATCAGGATTGTTCCTCGTTTGTTTTGAAATCTGAGCAAAAAATTCATCTCGAAGTTCAGCACGCTTCAAAGTTTGCTTATATAGTTTTGCAACAAGCTCAATCCGTTCATCTAAGCTTAGTGGAGTTACTCGTTCAGATGAATCAACTCCCATATACTTCAAAACCATGTGGAACATTTTTGTAGCTCGGCTCACCAGGTCACTATTGATTTTAAGTAGTGAGGTTGGAATCGGATCCTGTGGATAGTTAATACTTCTAACTTATATGTTTCAGAGTTTGGTTAACAGAAAAATTATGTTCAAAAAGAGTATATTATTACCTTTTGGAAACACAACATATCCTCAAATGTGAACCTTTCTCTAACTTGAGGGCCTACAGATTTTTTAGAGAAAAAACTACGTTTTCCAGCAGAATTAATCTGTTTCTGCATCATTCTTAAGAATCCCTCCACCTACACAATTGATTGAAAATCAGAATTTCAAGAAGCATTGGTCCAGAAAGAAATATAAACCTGACATGAATTCTGATCATTTTTTCACGCATAATCAACAGCAACTTTGCACAATATCCTTATAGCTAGAAGGTGCAGTTCCCCACCTGAAATCTATCAATCAAGGGGATTACACCAGCAAGTTCTGCTGGAATTGCCATGGACAATGTAGTTGGTGTACTGCATAAAAGAGAAACAGACTGCAAACAGTTAGAACTTAGAAGTAGAAAATGTTTCAGATAAGCAAAGAAATATATACGGGCATTTCCAACTGATAAATTTCATGCTGAGGAAGTTAGTGAGGCTTGATTGCAATACACAATTTGGTTTAATTAATAATAAAGAGGTGCACCTGAGGGGCACTTACGGAGGTGCAAAGTTGGAGCCATCGCTGTCGTAATCGTCCCCATTTGAAATAGAACCAGCGCTCTGTATCTGAGCATCTTCATTTCCATTGCTAGAGCTAAAGGAAGACCTACTTGCTCTCATACTTTGGGCCATGGATGGCAGCGTGTCAATGGTCATTTCACGGGAATCAGCCCGATGAAAACAAAGATGCTCTGCTCCTTTGTGCTCCTAAATTATATGTGGACAACAGCAAAAGCTTGATTTTTGAGTAGAGATTACACAACTCAAGGCCAGCCGTAATATTTACCAAAATCAACTGTAAAACGGCAAATGGGGTAAAAAGAAAAAACCGGAGATCCACACATAAGAACTGCATATAAATGGGGTGATAATAGGAGAAATCTGCAAACTCCTACTCCACCAACGGCATTGAGCTCTTATAAATATTGCTGAAATAGGGCAATGAATTCAAGAATCGATCCCACAAATACATAAAGGGATTGAAAAAAACAAAGCTAATTTATAACCAAAAAAAAAACAGAATCTTTAGATTGATAAAATGGGTGCAATATGGGGAGAGGAAATAACTGGGTTACCAGCCGGTGGCATTGCAACCCAACGAACAGAAAAGAGATTGAGAGATCTGTTGATGAGCTGGGCGGGGAGTGAAGAAGGCAGACTAGAAAAATAAAAAACCAAAAATAGAAAAAGGAAAGACAATGGTGAGAGTCACGAGACTGCTATAAATGGACGAGATGATGCATAATTACTTAAAATCTTAAATGGCTTGCTTCCGATATTACATTCGGCCTTAGATCTACTAACAAGTAACAACCACTTTGAATGGGTGTGGAAACAAATGAATTTTCAACTGCCCATATCAAATCAATTCTTCAAAATTCAAATAAACAAATATTTAAAAACATTTCCACTCCCAAAAAAAGAAACTTAAAAGAATACTACTCCATCCATTCGAAAACATATGAAATCACTCGTCTGCAAACGTCTTATTCATCGTCTAAAATTGCAATACTACCCCTCCCAGGTCAGTCCAAGTGTGACCCCAGAGGCGGGAAGGTGCATTCTAGGACCAGGCCCAGCCACGGGCCCTTAACGCATCCTTCTGCACTCGCATAAATTTGGACTTTGCACCTTTCCTAGAGGACCCTACTTTTAGATTTAACTTTTAAGCAACCTTACCTATTTCTTCCATTTCCAATAATATTCCCTTCTGTTTTTTCACTCATAATTTTATCTTTATTATCAAATTTCAGTGCTTTGCTTTACTTAAATTATTTTATCCTACCTTACTAGCTTTTACCCCATTTTCGCCCGATAAGGATCGTTGTTGGTAGCTCCTTGACTTCAAGGTACACAAAACAAAAAGATCTCTAGTTGGTGAGCTTTACCGGATTTATTTAGGGTTACATTTTGCATAATTGCATATTTGCATATGCATATGCCCCTGTTGATTTACTACAAATTATCGAGAAAGTGATTTTAAATGAAATAAAAAATAAAAAGAGGACGAAGGTGATTAAACGCACTAGAAAATACTTGACTCTTGTTACTAGTGTCCAAATCTTCTTCCTCTCGGGAACATAGAAGCATTTCTAAAGACAAGGGTGGACACGACAAAGAACGCGGAGGTAAACGTGGGCTTTGGCACATTGCGTGGGTTGAGCAAGTAAATAGTTGAACGTTGAATCTGACAAACAAATAAGCCTCCCTTCGACTCCAATGCTTACACTTGGGCGAGAAATATCAAAAGAGTGTGCCTACAAAATCGAAAGATTCAAGGAATAGCAAAACGCTAGCCGGCTATGCCCTGCCGGCTCTTGTTGTTCAACTCGCAAAAAATAATAATAAGAAAAAGAAGATGGATCCTTAATATTTAAAAAGTTGACAACTTTCCTTCACAAGAAATGCCACTTAGAATGGCTACATCACTTGTCGTCTTGACATATATTATTAATACTTTTCTTTTAAGTATGTCTTGCTATATGCTTTATACACGCAAAGAGTACCACCAACAACCAGCAGCAGAATGAGTCAAGATAAACACGAAAATGTTCGAAGCAATCCATAGAAAACCAACATCATTAAATAATAATATAGTAGGTTTTACGCTTCATTTTTTTCCCTCTCCCATGTAAATTTAATGTCCAATTTCTCAAAATATCCTATGTTGTCTTGACTAATAAATAATCACATAATATTCTGATAAATATTTAAGTCATAATATGCACTCTACACTTTTAACAATTAATTAGCATTTCTATCACCAAAATACATGTATACCATCAATTCACATCCGATGCTTATACAAAGAAAAATTTTGACAAAAATATAAATTAAATTTTTGTACTTAATTAAATTTAAATTTTGATTAATCAATCTACTCACACTTGTTAAAAATAGTTAAAATATAATTACATTTAATGCACTATTCTTGTATTTTCAAAAGAATATAATACATTAATGACTATTTTTTTGCTTAAATATCACCTTAACAAATAATATTAGAATAACCTTCAAATTCAAAACCGGACTTGAGAGTTTTCAAAGGAACGTTTTTGAAACGTCCAAGCTGATTGCACTTGCATAGTTATTAATTCATTTTAAAGTATATGTTTTCAAAACCACGACTTGAACATGGTTTCCAGCTAAGTGCGTTTCCTTAATACAAAACTGGACGCATGCGAGTGTACTTAAAACGTTAAAACAGAGACTCAATAAGCATTTTATTCTTTTATCCTCAACATTAAATAAGGTTTAAATAACCTACTTTAAGAAACTTTTACCAGCATTTCGCAAACCCTCCATGGCAGTTTGTATTTGCTCTGAAATAGTTGAGTATAGGCATCTCTGTGCTGCTTCATCCAATCCATAAGGGGAGATAATAGGCCATCCTCGATAAGTACATGATAGATCACGAGATATGGAAATTGCCGTCTGCCTCATTCTAGGAATATCGAATTCTAGTGGCTCACCAATGATAATTTTGATATTTTTATTGCATAATGGAAATGGAGGCCTTCTGTCAAGAAAAAATTTTTCTGGCATCACCTGTGCATTATAATTGGAGACACAACGAATGAACCAAAATCAACAAATAGGCCAATCAGAGTAAAACAAATGGAATTTGAGTAATCCACAAGTGATGTGCTCATCCATATTTCATTAATTTAACATGCAATGAGATTTGCAAAGAGCCACTACATGAAAAAATGATGAATGATACCTAGATGTACACAACAAGACACCCATAATTCTCCTGCTAATTGGTCTTAATGTAAGACACCAGGAACAAATGTCTATTGACATGCAGAAATATTGAGTAAAACAATTAAACCAGACTGTATAAGTCAAATGACTTTCGCACAGCCGCGCAACCCACTTCCACTGCTATACTGATTATGGCATGAACTAGATTTGTCATTGTGCCCGTAGCACAAAATATCAAATAATACTTGATCACTCCTACTATTTCAACATACAGATGAAGTTTAATTATTGTCTTAAGTAATGTGATTCTCAAAAATAATAATAATAACAATGACAGTAGTAGTTGAGAATATTCGTAAATGGAACTTTCAGCCAACAATTTCAGGCCCCACGCCACAGGCTCAATTATCGACTGCGGGATCAATTAGTAAAGCTGTAGCATAGGCATGAAAAGTGAGAAAAAACTGGTTAATTGAAATTGGTATCTGATTGTTCACCTAGGTTTCACTACATCCTTTAATTTAAAATTTGCAGCAAAAAATGGGTAATAGGAAATTCTGAGAGGGCTGATTCAGGAAGTGACTGCTGGGCATGCAATGAGGTGGAATCAAAAGTACTTTTGCAGTAAAATTTTATTTTGCTTAGTCTGACAACAATAGTCATCGAACACTGTTACTGTGAGTCTTCCCAAGCCTTGCTATGTATTGCATCAAAATAAACTGCAAACTGGGCAAAATCGTAGAGGCTTTAAAGTCTAACCGGCATCAATACATCCAATATCACAGTGAGTGTGCATTTATGCCGAATGTTCATGCTCAATGTCCAAATAACATCCCCCAAAAAATTAGAGAGAAGACATCTCTTTTTGATAAGTGAATGGGGGATATGAGAAAGAAAGAAATGTCAACAGAACCCAGGAAATTATTTCTAAGACTTTCACAACCTAAATTCACTCAGATGAAATTGAATCTGGAAAATGAAGAGAAGAAGCAAAAGGAAAAAGATTTCTAACCTCTTCAAAACCACAATGAACAATGGGAAGAACTATTGGAGTCACATGAGCACGAACAATTAGACTAGCAGTTCCCCATTTTAATCGTCTTATAGGTGCATCTTCTTGTGAAACTTTACCTTCAGGAAATGTATGTAGCTGGCAATTGAAGACATGAGAAACATTAGGACACCTTAAAGCCATGAAGTATAAATTCTTGAGAAAATGAATCTCAATACAGCAACGTGGACACTAAATTAAAAAATTTTTAGCCATTCTATCAACAAGTTTAGTGCATTCACGAATGACACAACAAAAAGCCCAAGCATTTATCAACCTGTTAGGAGTTTGCCATTCTTAAACATGGATTAGTTAAGGGATGCTGACAGCAAAGTCACATAAGGGAGTGTACAGCACATTTAAAAAACTTGCCCACAAAAAATCCAAGAGTTCACAACATCATCCAAGTTCAAAAGACGCACTGGAACCCAAAACTTCAACCACGATATGTAAGTTACCCAATATACTACATTCAATCACCAAGGACATTTAAAAAACTCACTGACAAAAAGCCCATGCATGTATCAATCTGTTAGGTGTTTGCCATTCTTAAACATGGATTAATTCAGGCATAAGGGAGCATACAGAACATTAAAAAACTTGCCTACAAAAAATCCAAGAGACAACATCATCCAAGTTCGAACCAGACATTAGAACCCAAAACTTCAACCACAACATGTAAGCTATCCAATATATTACATTAAATCACCAAGGATTGCTTCAGATGTTTTAGATGTGAAATAATATTTGTTATTGTCCAACAGGCTCTACTACCCCAATACTAGTTCGGAATTATAGCCAATAAGCTACCAACTTATTAGCACTCATATACCTTTTCAAATAATTCTCCTTCACTTAAAACTACAGTGGCTGTCCTGTGGCAAGAGATGGACTAAAAGCCCAAATAGGTAGCAGATGTAAATAGAATGCCAGGAAATGCAAGGAACAACCTTAACAACTGGTTTGTGGAGCTACCATGTCTGGAAAACCAAACCCAACATTTTGAAGACAATGCAATGAAAGAGAAACAAGGACCACTTGTATCTCAACTAAATAAACTTATTCATCACTTGAAATTATATTCATTCTCTATGGTTTCAGTTCCTTTAATGTTCATTTTTTCCTTGATTTATTTCCTTGAGAGTAAGGCCGTATATCTTTTTCGGTCTCAACTATTGAAGAGCTTGAAAGAGGAAGTGAAAGAATGAAAGAAGAATTATAAAGTAACACAAATGAAACTGGTCATGCGACTGTTCTCACCAACAAACCTATATAGTTGAAATTCTAAAGAGAGGCTCCATGACTGAGTAGGCATCAATGTTAACCTGATTGACTTGTCCAGGATGAACCAAAGCAACAAGACATTACGAAACATGTTTAAATACAGCTCAGAAGAACCCAACAATCTCAGGATATAAAAGCTCTATCCAAAAGTTCTAAGTAAGGGTAGTATAAATTTCGCTGAATACCCAGGCTCCATTGTTTAAGCACTCAAGAGCTTCATTCATGTGTTCCTGATAAATTCCCGCACCCCTTGTAATAGGTATGCATTTACCTGCACAATTTACTATTTCAGAGACAGATCTTACTTTAAACTATTTGCTCTCTTAAAAACCAAATCAAGCTCACATAAAATTTCGCCTAGGTATGAAGAAGGTCATACAAGATGTACATCCGTAAGTAATGATAAAAGTCACAATTCAAAAGGCATTTCTTATAATACCTTATAGTAATAGTTATATGTGAAAGCATGGCTGGTAAGGATAGTCTACAAACCCTAGAGCAAGGGCTAGAACTAGTTATACCATTAGCAAGATCAAGTCCATCAGGGAATCAATTAAACCCACAGATTTTGACCAAAGCCTGTGATAAATTACTAGGTTTGACCAACTATGAACTTTTTGCTCGATTAAACTACAATAAATTATTTCATCTAGAGTTGCTACTTCGCTTACTAACTTATGTGGTAATTACACAAGGGATGCCTCAAGATAGGGCCAATTTTCAATATGGTATCCAAGCTATATAAATGTTCAATGTACCACTTTAACTATAAAATCTTTGTCTGTTTTCTCAATTAACTAAACTAAGACTGGTACCTTATGCTGGTGAGGGCTAAGGTATCTTAAATCCTCGAAAGGTAATTGTTCCAAACTAAATAACAGTGTTGAAAATAAGATGGTTGGTTATATATGAATCCAATAAATACTGTTAAGTCAATTCAAAGCTAATAATAGAATGAAACTCATAAGCTAATGAAATATTAAATCAAAAGTATTTCTTTGAGAGAGAGAGAAGTTGAAGGGTGGTCATAAAGACGGGACAGAGAAATGGCATACCAAGTCTAAAAAAATAAGTAAGGAGAAAATTTTTGAAACAAATGTCTTCTGCAGCAAGTACCCAGCGTGCCAATTTTGCATCCAAGGAGGGGAAACCCTTGAATCCCCAAAGAAGTGGATCATCCAAGCTGCAAAGCAACAAAATGTGATTGTTAACACCGAGTAAGTGCAATCACATATAATTTATTTCGTAATTAACAAAGAATGAAGTAAAGAGGAAAGCGAGAAAAAAAAAAAGGATTTAAGAGGTCTACCCACGTAGACATGTGATTGCTAACGGTGAGAAGTGGTATGCCAGGAGGTCGAGAGCGGACAAGACGAATGAGGGTATCGGCATTATGAATGGAGGAGGTGTTGAGAAGAGAGGTTACTGCCTTTGCGACCGACCCCACCGCCAGGAACACTATCTTCCTTGGTATTCCTCCCATGTGCTTCTCCCTAGCTGCCCATTCCATTTTCCTTCCCATTTCACTACATAAAATTTTGTAAGTGTTGATACAAAATTAGAGTCTCTATTTGATTTAAAATTTAAATAAAATTTTTCAAAAATACTGCTAAGTACTGTAATTTAGAACCGGCTTTAGGAAAACTTTAACCGGTTTAAGGTTTCTGAACCCGGTTTTAAATTTTGTAAACCGATTTGAGGGTTCTAAAAACCGACTTTAGGTTTGTTGAACTGGTTCAACGGATCTTGAACCATTTTTAAAGTTTACTTAATCGATTCAAAGGTTTTCATATTGATTTTAGGGTTTGTTGAATGGATTTTAAATTTTTTTACAAACAGGTGCAAGAAATTCCAAATCGGTTTTAGGGTTAACAAAACCATTTTAGGCTTCTCAGTTTCAAGATGATAAAACTGATTTAACAGTGACTTCCATTTCGTCCAGATTTATTTATTTGTGTACGTTTTTCATTAATTTTTCTGCGTCACTACCTGCTAGTTGGCAGTTACTACCGTAAATGGACGACCATGTAAACCTTAAGAAATGTGGTATAATTGAGGATGATTATGTGACCGGTTAAAATCTCTCAGATAGATTAAAATTTCCCTAAGCAAGTGTGATAATGACACCTGTCAGTGTTTGTATAATAACTGCTTTCCCAACATTTCTTGACTCCAACTCATCCCCTGCATAAAATCTTTGCAAGGAAACAAAGTAAAAACCACTCCAAAAAAAAGTCTTTAGCTCCCAATAACACATAATGCTAGAATCTATGAAATCCCTTCAAAATCACGAATAATAAACACCCATAAAAGTTAAATCTAACACCTTTTGGACAAATTAAAAACACCCAAATCAAAAAACACATTTTATATACCCTAAACCCCAATTCCAGATTTAATTCAGCAAATATTATTTATGTTTCAGATCAGTTATTGCAGAAGAAAGTAACATGAATGCATAAACAATACAGACAAAACTAAACTTAAATGAGAATTATTGAATTAAAATTACTTGATATAATAATTATTAGAAAAATATGTTTTTTTTTTGGAGAGAGAGAGGTGGGTGATACGGACAAAATAGATTTCGAGGTATTTATATAGTTTTAAGAGTGACAGAGCCCGAGAAGAACGGTGGCTAGGCTTATTTAGAAAGAGAGGGACTGTCGGCAGGAGGAAGGGGAAGAGAAGAAAAGAGCAAAGAGATGGAAAGAGGGAGCCGTCGGCGGAAAGGCCTAGGAGGACGAAGGCGACGGCCCCGGGGACAGAGTGGGTGGCTGCTAGCGTTAATGGGAGAAGAGGAGGAGAGCAAAAATGAAGAGACGAGGAAGGGGCTGGATGCTAAGGTTAGCTCAAGGTTTTATCGAATGACCAAAACTACGTCGTTTTATTGGATACAAAGAAAAACGAGAGTCCACCCAAGCCCAAGAAGATGTTTCAAGCTTAGCAGATTTGGATCAAGCCTAACAACAATTAAGGTTTTTCCTAACCCATTGTTTTACCGCTTAATTATTTATTTTATTTATGAAATTTATATTTGTTATTCAAGAATTCAGCTTATGAAATTACTTTAACAAAGGAATAAAAATAAACAATAAAATAATAAGCTGAATTAAATTATTAATTGATCACCAAAATTGTTTGGGGCTCTTAAGATTATTTTCACAAGGTGGATTAATTCTAAATAATTATAAAAGCATTGGATAAAACAGTAGTATTTAAAATTGAAGATAATTTACAAAATTTTATCAAAAACCCTTAAAAATTTTAATAAGTATAATTAATACTCATATCTGAATTAACAAAGCATAATTATGTAAATATTAGCATATATTAAGATATAAAAAAACCAAATTTTTTCAACAATTTAAATTATTTATAAATAAAAAATACCAAGCAAGACGATAATGTTTATTGGTAAACTGTTAGTCCACATGATATTATTTCATATCGTCGCACATTGACATGTGGGAAAGATAAAGCCACGCGACAGAAGATGCAGAAAACACACAGTATTTACAAGCTCTCCGCTGACTTATGTCCAACAAGTATGCAAGATAACAGGTGAAACACACAAGATTTCATCATCGTCTAGTAACCTCCCTGAATGTAAGCATTCAGACGGTCCAACTCCTCACGGTGCTCAATCACCACAGCACGAACAACATCTCCAATGGAAACCATGCCGACCATTCCCTTCTCATCAATCACTGGAATGTGTCTGATTCGGTTATCTGCCAAAATACCACAGGTTACGACTAGCTTGACAAGGAACAGCCTAATGAACACAAAAAGTATTGTCTTACAAGCAGCATAGTGTACCTGTCATCAATTGCATTGCTCGCAGAACTTTGGTCTCAGATGTGACAGTAATGAGCTTGTTCTACAACCACCATATAAGAGAATCTTAGTATTCCCAACACAAGGAGTGGTGTAAAGGCACATCTTAACAATCAGCCATAAATAATACCTCTTCAGTCATGATGTCCCCAACCTTGGTTGACTTGGATGATCTTCCCTGTACTATTATTTTCCTAAGATAATCTGAAAGTTATATCATCAAATAAAAAACTTAACTAACAAGCAGAATAGAAGCAGACCATAATTCCTTCAAAATCTCTTCTAGATAATTGAGAAAGGCACAATGAAGCAAAGTACAATCTTAGCAAAGTGAATAAAATTTGATGGGTGCTCTAAATGTCGTATATGCAATGCTCAAAATAAAGGGTAGCTTTGACTGTTTGACATGACAAATAACAGGAGAATTGAGAACAAAATAATGGCATTAAATGCATGCAATTGCAAACTATAAGGTGTAAGAAACAATATAAATAAGCATAAAAATGAGCTGGTGCAAGCAAAAAATTAACAAGCTTGAGCTCGTAAATTTTAAAATCGTATTAGTCACACCAGTCATTAGTGCAGAATTAATTTCATCAAGGAAATACTTCTTAAAATACCTCTCTCAGTGATAATACCCGCAATTGATTCCTGCTCTCCAGGTTTTACAACCACCAGGGCACCAACATTGTGTTGAGTCATCTGGAAAGAAAGGTTCCAGTTAAGGATGCAAATCAAGTATTCCACGACAAAGTTTTGAGATTTTATGAAAATCATAAAGATGCCTACCGACTTCACAGCATTGTACACAGTGTCATCTGTAGTGCACCAAAGCCAGGAGCCATCTGCACCTTTACCTTTTGCTTTCAAGATGTCTGCAATAGTGGTGCTCTCAAAGCCGTGCTCTTCCATGCGAGCAGATGAAACCGATTCAAAGCGGGAAAATATAATGGGTCGCTTAACTGGATTGACCACCCGAATGCGTTGCATCACAGCATTTTTTACAGTATTCCCATGCAACAAAAAAGCTTGAACTGCCCCTTTCATTCTGCCTGTTATGATTGATTAGTTACAGTTAAGCAGAGACGTGCTTGTGCAAGTCACATAAAAAAATCATTCAAACTTGACATGAGAGAAGTATGTAATCTTAAGAGGCAGTAGAAGCCATGCCTTGTAAATGTTATTTTGTAATATGAGGGTTCTATTGATAAGGTTTGGAAAGCAGCAAATGACTGCAGTAAATTCGATACCATGTCTCACATGTTAGAATGCTAAATACATGGGGCCAATAGTGAGAATTTTAATTTCAGTTCCGGGAGAGTTAAGGAGCTTTAAGTTACTTGATCTGTCATAGAGTTAACCTGATGAACAACCTTTGCGTTTAGGGAAAAGTAGAGAGAATGGTGAAGATAGCACCTGAGGAAGATGGAAATCTCAGCTTAAATAAAGAAGATCCACCCTGGAAATCATAGGAAATAATCATGAGTTTTTTTGCTAAGCCTATTTTGAGGGTTTTTAATATATAATGCTAAACGGTTCAAGGTATTTGTCAGAGTGGGGGCTTTCCTCAAAGTCTTCAACTAAAAACTGCACATTTATTCACCGTTTGGCTGCCGAGAAAACTAACAAAATTTTGATTCGGATTCATTAAGAAAAATTCATTATTTTCTTTTGCAGCAAAACCAAACAGACCCTTCATTGGTTAAAAAAACAGATTCTTTCAAGCCCAAAGAGAACTCCCAAGCAAGCTTTTTAAGTTCACTAAACACGACACAGAGAAAATAAGTTACGTGAAACTGAATTGAGAAAACAATTTATAAAGGTTCTAATCAATTATTAGAAGCAATTCTCAGACCAAACAAACAACAAATCATGTAAACTTTTAATTTTGTACCACGTAGGGAGGAGGCGAGGAGCTGTTGGAGGAAGATGCAGTCGGCACGGTAAAAGAAGCTTCAGGCGCTCTTCAGTCGGCTCGGTACGGCCAGGGGCAAAGACTTAGGGGGCAGCAGCGGCGGGGGCGAGTACGAAGACCGAAAAGTAGGGGAAAATGGGCACTGGAGTTACCTAGGGTTAGTCTTAGATTTGGCGAGTAATTAGATTTATTTATTACACTTTCACCCTTGCCGATCCTTATGGTTGGCAAAATTGGTTAGTGGTTGGAGTGTTTCTTTTCAGACGCGAGTTCGATCATAACATTGACAACCTAAGCCCGGATCTGAATCCCGAACACGAATGTGGACCCAGATCCTAAGCCCCCAGCCCAGAACCTCAAGCCTTAGACCTTAGACCCCGATCCCAACCTTGGACCTTGAAACTCTAAACATGAAACCCCGAACCCCAAGCTTGGAACCTTAGAATCCAAGATCTTGCACCATGAATTTCGATTTTTTTAATTATTTTCTATTTTTAGAGATTTTTTTATAATTTTTAAGTATTTTTACGTTCTTTTTAGGCATGTTTAAGATCACTCTAAGCATTTTTAAGCTTTTTATCATTGATTTCAAAATATTTTTATGCTGTTTTCAAGGATTTTTTAAGAATTTTAAAGATTTTGAAGGGTTTTTGCTTCATTTTTAAAAAATTTTTGAAGCATTTTGAACCAATTTTAGCCTTTTTTTCATTGATTTTTAAGCATTTTCAAGGTTCTTTTAAGTATATTTAAGGTTTTTAAG